TTTTATGATTTTCTTTCACTTGACTGTTGTTTTCCTTAGTTCAATTTGAGTTTTCTTGAGGGAAGCCTCAAGAAACGTTATTCTATAATGTATTTTTAAAATTATTTTTTGAATAGGGGAGGCATCTATGGCTCAAAGGAGTAGGGCACCAGCCCCGTATGCCAGAGGTGGCGGGTTCAAACCCAGCCCCTGCCAAAAACTGCAAAGAAAAACAGATAATAGGTTCCTCAAGAAAGAATTTTCATGTGGTTTTACAAGGTACTGGAGACTACCCAGCGTCTGGCACTGAGTCTTTGAGCATTTTGTGGTCATTTTGATGTAGTGCCCCACATAAGTCTGTCTAGAGAAAGTTACTTTGCTGGGGTCTCTGGCCTAAATTACTGTGAGAACTCAATACTAAGCCCATTACCTTCAATTCAGGTAGCCTACAAGAATCAGGTGATACTGACTTATGTTTGTAAGCCATAAAAATAATAAGTTAAAATTATTAATTCAAAATTCCCAAAAGTTTTGCAGTTGGGCAGCTAGAAGAGATTAAATAAGTGATCTGATTCAGTGTAACAACAGGGCTAGACCTTTAAGAAATATACTGAATTAATTAGTGGTTTCAAATAACTTCTAATTTTTGAATTAATTTTTAAATTACATGCATACATACACCATGCTCAACCTTTGCTAATCAATTGTCACTTTCAGAATCTTTATTTTTCTTTCTTTCTCTTTTTTTTTAAATTTCAGTATATGAGGGGTACACGCATTTTCTTTATACACTTCATTTTCTTGCACAAATTGAGTCAAAGTTATAATCATGCCCACCACCCGGACAGTGTGAACCATACCCAGTAGGTGTGAATTTAACCACTCTCTCCACCCCTCTCTCCCAGCTTGAGTTCCATGGAGATTTACTTCCATATGTGTGCTTGAGAGTTAATTGGTCAGTTCCAACATGGTCCTGAGTACATGTATTTGTTTCTCCATTTCTGTGAAGTTTCACCTGTAAGAATGATCTCTAGATTCATCCAGTTAGTCACAAAAAATACTAGATCACCATGTTTCTTTAAGGCTGAGTAGTACTCCATAGGATACATACACCACATTTTATTAAACCATTCATGTATTGGTAGGTACTTAGGTTGGTTCCATGTCTTGGCAATTGTGATTTGCATTTTTAAAAATATTCGAGGGCAGATGTCCTTTTTTCCCTTTGGGTATACATCCAGAAGTGGGACTGCTGAGTGAAAAGGCAGATCTACTTGAAGTTCTTTAACGTATCTCCATAAGACTTCCCATAAGTGTTGTACTAGTTTGCAGTCCAACCATCAGTGTATAAGAGTTCCTTTCTTTCTGCATCTATGCCAGATCTCACTGTTTTGGGACAGTGAACCTGGAGTTAGGTACTATCTCATTGTGGTGTTGATTTGCATTTCCCTAATGATTAGCATTTTTCATGAGTTTATTGGCCATCAGCATATCTTCATGTGAAAAGTTTCTGTACGTGTCTTTGCCCTCTTTATAATGTGGCTGTTTGGTTGCATCTTGCTGATTTGCTTGAGTTTTTTGTATATTTTTGTTATCAGTTCTTGCCAGATGTAAGGCATGTGCATATTTTTTTCTCATTCTATGGGTTGTCTGTTTGCTCTTTTGGTTATGTCCTTGGCTGTGCAGGGCTTTTTAAAAAGCAAAAGCAGAGACATAGATCAGAACAGAGAACAGAGAATGAAATCATCCTCATTTCCTCACCTGATTTTCAACCAAACAGGTAAAAACACACACGATTGGAGGGATCACTTCTATGGTTTATCTTACAAGGGTACAAGTGAATCTTTCTAAGAGTAGAATTAACACAATAACTAAGAAAATGACATAAAGGCTATTTTAACCAGTTTGATGAAAATATTTCAAATTGTATATGAAAACACCACACTGTACCCCGATTCCATTAATGTACAGAGCTATCATTTAATAAAAAAAAATGCAACAGATAAAACAAAACAAACAAACAAAAAACACACACACTGGAGAAAAGAATCCCTGTTCAGTAAACAGCGCTGGAGAAACTGGATAGCCATATGCAAAAGACTACAACAGGGTCCACACCGCTCACCATTCACAAAAATTAACTCACAAAGGATAACAGACTTAAACTTAAGGCAGGAAACTATAAGAATCCTAGAAGAAAATGTTAGAAAACTCTTACTGATACTGGCCTAGGCAGAGTTCATGAAGACCTCCAAAAGCAATGACAGTAGCAACAAAAATAAATAAATGGCTTTCAGAATCTTTGCCTGCTTTGAGAAATGTTCTTGCTGCAGACACGGCATTAGCACACTACCATGGGCCCTTAAGTTCCTTCAATTCTACTCATTCTGCCATTTTCCCTTATATTCCTAGGTTACTTACTCATTTTAAATATGCTTTTTGTAAAATTTTTCAGATTTTAATTATCTTCAGAAAGATAGTTTTAATTATCTTCAGGAAGATAGCTGATCAGAATCAACCAGAATAACTTTTCCAACATTACTATAAGCAGAAAATTTTTAATTGATACAGATTTCACTGTTAGTTTTTTTTTTATCATGACAAATATTGTGTGTAACCCATATCCTTTTTAATGTCAATGAATATATATGTATAAGTTAGAATAACTTTGAGCTAATTTTTAAATCACTAATTCAGAGAGTGTTTTTTAAGAGAAAAGTGTTTTAGAGAAAAGGAATCAGAATGCAATTATTAAAACAGAAAATGTAACATTAAAAGAATCCCATTATCAAGTACACATATTCACACTTTATCAACTTTCTCAGTAATTGCTTTATAGCTATCTTTTCTTAGTCCAGGACCCAGTTTTGACTTACAGATTATATTTCATTATAATATAGAGACTCTTTAGTCTCTTTTAATTTTGTATAGAATCTTTCTTTAGCTTTTTTAAAGATGAATTTCACCATTGTATAATGCACACTTCTGTGGCTCAAAATGCATTTACAGTGTTATGCAATCATCACCCCTGTCTAATCTTAGAATTTTTCATCACCCACAGAATAAACTTTATATCTAATAACCAATCATTTCCCATTTCTCCTTTCCTTTAGTCCCCAGCACCATGAATTTCCTTTCCATCAATGGATTTGCCCATTCAGGACTTGTCATGTAAATGGACTCATATAATATATGGCCTTTTGAGTCATAATTCTTGCACTTAGCACAACACCTTCATTATTTATGCTGTAGCACGTAATAGTACTTTATTCCTTTTTGTTGTATGGTGGTAAGATTTTATATTCCCACTGGCAATGTGCAGGAGTTCCAATTTGCTCACATCCTCACCAACACATGTTATTTTCTGGCTCTTGTTTGTTTGTTTCAATACTTACTTAGTGGATATGAAATTACATCACACAGTAGTTTTGCTTTGAATTCCCCCCGCCCTTTTTCTTTTTTACTTTTTTTGACATCTTTTTATGTGCTTATTGACCATTTGCATGTCTTCTTTGCAGAAATAACTATTCAAGTCTTTTGCCCCATATTTTTATTGCACTGTTAACTTTTTATTTGCTAATATGTAACAGTCTTTATATATTATACTTAGATACTAGTCTTCTATCAGATGTAACTAGCAAATCATTTTCCTACTCTGTGAGTTGCATTTACATTTTCACAATAGTGTCTTTTGATGCACCAAAAATTTTAAGTTTGATGAATTTTAATTTATTTATTTTGTTTAGTTTCTGTGCTTGGGGGATCATATTTAAGACATTATTTTTAAATCTGAGGTCAGAAATGTAATGCTATGTTTTCTTCTAAAAGTTTCATTCTTTTAGCTCTTTTTATATCTTTAATTTTGAATTCAGTTTTGTATTTAGTCTAAGGCAGGTGTTCCGATTTATTTTCTTGCACATGGATATCTAATTGTCCCACACTTTCTTGAAAAACTGTCTCTTGGCACCTTCATGAAGAAACGACTAATTACAGACACAGTGCTTATATCTCCATCCTCAACTCCAGTCCATCCTCTGCCACTGTTGTATTGTTGTGACTACTGTGACTTCACTGCATGTTTGAAATAAGCAGATACGATTCCTTCAACTTTCTTCTTTTTCAGTAACTTTTTCACTATTTGGAGCTTCTTGTAATTTCATATCAGCCTGAGGATCAGATAGATCATTTCTGCAAAAAAATGCAGTTAGGATTTTGATAAGAAGCACATTGTCCCTGTAGGTCTATTTGGGAATATTGCCATCTTATCAATAATTCTTACCATTTTACCATTCAATTCTTTTAATCCATGTACAAAAGTACAAGATGTGTTTTCATTTATTTAGGTTTTTCAAAACTCTTTCTTTTTTTTTTTTTGTAGTTTTAGGCCAGAGCTGAACCCGCCACCTCTGGCTTATGGGGCCGATGCCCTACTCCTTTGAGCCACAGGCGCTGCCCCAAGACCCTTTCAACAATGTTTTATATTGTTCAGTATAAAAATATTTCACCACCATTGTTAAATATATTCCTATATGTTTTATTTTTGAATGCTATTATAATTATTATCTTAATTTCTAAATGTAGTAAAGAAAAGCTGTCTTGTATATCTCATTATAAATTCTTTTATTCATTTATAGAAATGAATTTATAGAGTTTTATTTAGGTCTTTATTCTACTTTATACTTGGTAATTATTTAATGCTCAATTGCCCCATAATTGGCAAACAGTGGCCTTTTTAATTGGTTTCTGCGTCCTTTTGGCATGTATCAGCATTCCTTGAGGATTTCTTTAACTTCTGCAATAAGATATCCCAGGTTCACCTTGTAATTTTACTGGCACAATCCCAGAATAGCATTTAACCAAGTAACATAGGTATATTTTAGTGGAAAATAGTATTTGGAAACTAAGATCTGTAAAATAAATATAGCATTGTCAAAATTTATAATTTATGGTTTGTTTTGTTATTTGAAAATTCAAATGGTATAAAGTATCACTAATTTAATTTCTTTTCTTTTCTTTTTAAGTTCCTCCAGTCATCCGAGTCTATCCAGAGAGTCAGGCGAGAGAGCCTGGGGTAACTGCAAGCCTCAGGTGCCACGCAGAGGGCATCCCAGACCCTCAGCTTGGCTGGCTGAAGAATGGGATCGATATTACACCAAAGCTGTCCAAACAACTTACACTGCAAGGTGCTGCTTACTTGCATTTTTTTTCCTGTAAATGACCTGGTAGAAAATTTACACTAAAATTTATAACACACCTTATAATATTTGGGGACATGACAACAAAACGTCATGAATATGAAAAAATACGGTCGTGTCTAAGAGATGGCATTTGAAAGATTCCTTTAATATTTTAAATGTTTTAAAAATAGTCTTGTCATGCTGCTTAATGTGTCATTATTTTGGTGATAAGTGAAATAATAAATATGTGTCTTTTAACTATTTGTTCTTTGAATTGCAGCAGGTACACTGAACAGAATAATTGGTTCTCTTCAAAAAAATACATTTCTGGTTACTTTTTGAATGTTTAAAGAATTAATTAAAAAGAATCATAGAGAGTTTCAATAATAGAGAAATTTTTAGTGAATATTTTCAGCATATTTTGTAAATAAAATGAATGATATAAAAAGTTACTAAATATTTCTCACTTACATTATATTAAAGTTATTGCATTCTAATATATGAAATAGTCTACATATTCTAACATTCTAATGTGTAGAAATTATTAATGAATTGTTATAGATTATAATAATCATAAGTGGAAAACAAAGACAATTTTTGTATAGTCAAATAATTTGAATAGTGAAAAAACAGTTACATACATGTAATATGTTGTTTATATCAGCAGTAAAATAATACATAAATATTTTTTCCATTGTTAGGGGTTACATACAAGTCACTTTATTGGGGTATCTCTTGTATAGGCCTTATATTTCTCATCACATACCTATAAATTTCTTTCTTAGCAAATCATAGAATTTTATTATTACTCTTTATTTTTTTTTTTTTTTAGAGACAGAGTCTCACTTTGTCACTCTCAGTAGAGTGCTGTGACATCATAGCTCCCAGCAACCTCCAACTCCTGGGCTTAGGTGATTCTCTTGCCTCAGCTCCAGAGTATCTGGGACTCTGTGGCATCTGCCACAATGCCCGGCTATTTTTTGTTGCAGTTTGGCCTGGGCCGGGTTTGAACCTGCCACCCTCGGTATATGGGGCTAGCGCCCTACTCACTGAGGCACAGGTGCTGCCCTCTTATTACTCCTTTTAGTAATAATATGTGAACATTATTTAATCATTATATTGAATATGTTTAATCATTATTTTTTTAATAAAGATTTTTAAAACTTTTACTTATTTTTGCAAGTCAACAGGGAAAAGTCTGCAAAAGTATTCTTCAACTTTAGACACTTGACTCCTAGAAATCAGTAAATTATTATGAGTAGGACTGACAAATTTATATAGTTATATCTACTAATTGCATTTTGTTGTGTATAATCTGAGATAAGAAGATTAATCTGTGCAAGAGAAATTGAATGAAGAAAAGTCTAAATAGCTACTTATTTTACTACCCCTGTCAATTTAATTGGAGCAAACCGTATTATATAAGCATATCATATTTTTGCTTCCAGGAGGACTGTACAGGAAAAAAAAATTTGGGAAACAGTTATACTTCAAACTCAACATTGAATGAGTGGGGGGGCTTGAAAATCGGTTACTGTCAATTTTAAAGACAGGAGAAAACAGGCAAAGTTTTGAGGGACTATGACATAAAATAAAAACAGAGCAGAGTGAACAACCTAAGAGCCCCAAATTCCATGTGTCCTAATATAGTATTGTATAATGCTGAACACTGCAGTTACCTGGTCACCCACTCACTCCTCAGAAGCTTCTCTCTTTTTTTTGAGACAGAGTCTCACTATGTTGCCCTTGGTAGAGTGCTCTGGTGTCACAGCTCACAGCAACCTAAAACTCTTGGGCTTAAATGATTCTCTTGATTCAGCCTCCCAACTAGCTAGGACTGCAGGCACTTGCCACAGTGCCCGGCTAACCTCACATGCTTCTTTGGCATTTGTGTGTGAAGTCCACATGTTGTCACTAATTGAGTAACTGGCCAAGGATGGGATGATACATGAGTAAGCGGAAGTAAAATCCTGAAAAAACACAAATATTTTATTAGCAGGCAAATGAATAGAAGAAGATTAAAAGTTAGTAAAAAGACAGGAGACCAGGTGATACTACAGAAGAAAAGAAGAGAAAGTTAAATTTGGAGAAAGAGTTTCACAATGGCAGGTGGACAGAAAGGTCAAGGAGGGTCATTAACCTGTGTTTATGTGTTAGGCAATCAGCTTGTTCTTGTGAAATTTAAAAACAACATACGTAGCAACCAGTCTTTGGTAAGTTTGGAAATAATGAAAGGAAGGCAAGAAGTATAAAAGTGCTTTCCAGAGTCTGAAAGGAAAAAATAAAGAAGGTGGTAACTACCCGTGGGTAGGCTTAGGACTAACGGAGATATTTCTTTCTTTTTCAACAATATATCTGCCCAAGGAAGTACCAAGAGAGAAAAAAGAAGGCGCTCATGTAGAATGAGTCATAGAAATCAACAAGAAATGGGGAGAGATTTGCCTTGTTAAGAAACAGAGAAAATTCCCCTTGAGAAATAAATACAAGGTGAAGCTGGGGAGCAAGAAGCTTTGGAGTTACATAATGATCGCTTTTATTTACTTCATGGTTGAAAGAGCAAGGGCACTTGCTTAGAGTAAGGACGTTGGTATTCTGATGAGAAGCATGAAACAAGGAATAAAAGATGTGAAGAGAAAGTGGAGTAGGATACGAAAAGCGTCTGTCTGTAAAGGTCAAGTGAAATGGATAGCATATAGGAGTGAATATGCTATGAATTGAAAGCTGTGAATTCCAAAATTATAAACTTGTACAATAGCCTCACTCTTTACGGAGAAGGAGGTGCAGTGACCCCAGGTGCAGAGGTGAGTCAGCATGCTTTTGTGGATCTCAGTGAGGCAGATAAGTCAGTGATAACTGAATTTCTTCTTCAAGGATTCTTGGTGATTCAAAGAATGAATCCATGGACCACAGATCAGTTGTAAGATAGGATTTATTTACAGAAAAGGAAAAAAAAAATTCAAAAATGCCAAAGCTTCTGGCAGAGAGAACCCAGGTGGGGAAAGACCTCTAGCTGTCTCTGTCTATCTCTCTCCTGGCTCTCTGCTCAGGGGGACATATAGTTGCATGGGGTCATTTAGCCAGAACTCAGTTGTTACATTTAGACGGATATGGGTCCTCTAAAGTGACATTCAGCCTTACATTTAGCAGCAGGGGGCTGGAACTCAGTTAATGAATAGCTACAATCCCTTTCTTTCAGGCCTAGGAAACTTACATGAAGTTGAAGGCCATGAAATTGACCAGGCCTAGAATAGATGGGGTTCCAAAGTGCTGGTGTCTCCCCAACAGTAAAGTAGTCTGGCCCCTCTGGTTACTGGAGCCTCCGACTCTCCCTGCCCTCTGCACCCTCCAGCCTCCTGGCTCCACTGCTGGCTGCCACTTCACCAACACCTCCAGGGTTAAGGGGGCAGGTCCTGGAGCCACCTGTCCTATATCATCAGGATGATGAAAGTTCTAGCAATAAAGTGGAGGACATGGAGGAACGTTAGAATATGGAGAAAAGGAGGTAAAGTCATGGGAAAATATAGGTTAGGAGAACATGTGTATGTATCCAAAGAGAGAATGTAAAGAAGGAATAAATTGATATGATATTTCATAAAAAGTCTAGAGCATTTAGGCTGTTGTGAGCATGAGTTTTAGAATAAAAAAGTATGAAATGATAGGAGAAATATTTCATGTAAAACAAGAGGTTGAAGCAGTTTTAAATACATTGTTCACTCCCTGTCTTTTCAAGCAGGATGTATAAACTCAGGCCCACAGACCACACCTAAACAGCGGTGTGTTTCTGCAAATAAAGAATTTTATTTTTGCTTTTGGTTTTGTTTTTAGAACAAAACCATACTCATTTTTTTTTTTTTAATATTATGTATGGCTGTTTTAATGCTGCTATGGTAAAGGTGAGTATTTGTCACAGAGACTTTATGACAAAGTCTAAAATATTTAATATTTGGCCTTTTGCAGCTAAATAAAATCCTCAGTGACCTTGCTCTGGATGAGGAGCAACAAGGTGTAAATAAGCATTTGTTTATTGAAAAAGAGGTTCAAGTGACTCAAATAATTGCCATGGCCCAAACAGCCACTGTCACTTTATATCTCCCTTGCATCCCCTGAGTGCTCCTGGCTCCTAGACCTTCAAGTTCCTCCCAGCCCCTGGTTTCTACCTTTTGTCTCCAAATTCAGCCATACCAATTATTTCACAAATAGTCCTGTTCCCTTCCACTTCACATGGTGTCTTGTAATAGGATAATTGGAAATACTTACACATATCCACAGGTATTCACACATGCATGCATACAGGAAGAAAAGAAAGAAAAGGAAAAGAAACTCAACAAATGACCATGACATACACTGAGCTTCAGTGTCAGATACAACCAGAATCCCGTCACTTAGAGCTGAGTGACTTGCATAGGTTTATTCCAGGTTTATTCCTAATCTGATAATAAAATATTACAAGGGATAATGAATGTATAATGTAATAAGAAATACCTAGCATGTTGCCAATATATAGTAAATGATTAATTATATTCTGCTTTCCACAGTGGGAAATGCAAATCATTATTCAGGGTTTAGCTTAAAATATTATCTCACAAATATTTAAAAGTGAGATAATAAGGAGATATTCACTCCTTTAACCATTTGGTCAGACACTGAGTATTATCAATTTCCATCTTATAGTATAATTTATTTTAGGTATAGTTCTGACAAAAGACTAAACCTCTTTTAGAAAAATCATGTGTTATTATTTTTCTGTCCTCCTTACCTAATAATTCCAGATATATAATTAAAACTTAATCTTGAAAAATGGCAATAGTATATTTGTATGATGATCAACTAATGTCTCTATGAAAATGTCTTTCACATGTATTTTTCTACAAATGAATCCTATTGCTATAATTTACATTTTTGTAAAAGCTTAAGAAAAGAGTTCCGAATTTTATAAGCAATATATAAATAAAATTATAATTATCAGTATGGAATACTTCATTTGCAATGCAGGAAATAGGAACTGATATAAAATATAAGTGGGTGTGCCTTTGCTATAGAGTATAGGGATCTCAATAACAGAATGACAGTCAGTTTATGAAATGCTTGGATGCTTCCAGAATAATTTGGCATGCCTCCAAAGCAGGGAAGTAGGAAGGAAAACAGTTTAATTAGGACGCGCTAAGAGAACTGTTTGACTGTGTAATCAGAAAGCACTCTACCAAAACTAAAATTGAGGTTTACAAGTTGTATTTGCCTTCTGTTTTCAGCAAATGGCAGTGAGGTTCACATAAGCAACGTGCGCTATGAAGATACGGGAGCGTACACTTGTATCGCCAGGAATGAGGCGGGAGTGGATGAAGACATCTCTTCTCTTTTTGTGGAAGATTCTGCTAGAAAGACCCGTATGTATTGAACACGCACACACACAGGAATACACACACACAGAGCACACTTTACAGCTGTTAGGAGCATACTTTTTTCACAGCTCTTTTCAAAAAGCAAAGATACCACAAAGCTCTGAAATGCACAACTAAATCAGCTTTCATATGTGGGACTCTTGAATTCCTAAAAGTAGATAGTTAAAAAACTTGCAAAATTTTTATTACAACCCTAGAATGATTTTTTTTTTTTATTTGTAAGTGCCCGCGAAATGTTTCAGGTTCTATCTTCCTATTACTTGTGCAGGAATTTAAATCCTTTGCAAAATTCCGCTTTTCAGTGTTATTTGGGGAATTCAAGGCCGCCAGAGATATCCGAGATGTATCAGACAGGTTGAGTCAATTGTCTTTCTTTTTCTGCCAGTGGCATTGCGCTCATGGTACCATAGCTGTGGGGCAGCCCTTCTGTGCCCTATGCCCAGGGGTTATTGCCACCGCAGGCCACTCACTGCTCCTAGCACCAGTGCTGCTCGCTGGCTACTCCTGGATTAATACTAGAAACCTTTTCTCATCTCAGTCCATGTATCATATCATCTCCTGAAATTAGAAGAAAAATGTCCTGTAATTTTTTAATTTTTAAAAAATAAAAGTTATTTTTACAAAGTAATTTTTTAATTACTGGACAAAGGGATATGAAAAGAGTGGGATGCTATAGGTGGATTATTTTTCAGGACAGCTGAATTGTTTGAAACTCAAAATACTGCGATAGCATTGATCAAGTGAACTCTGTAGGCAAACAGACAGGCATTTTCTTCCCCTGGCCTACGCCTACCACCTTATGGTTTGGGGGGTCCTGTGGTACTTGGAATGACTATTCCTTTTGTTGTCTGTTCTTCAGTCTGATTTGTCATGCTCCTATTAACGTAAGTTTCCTAAAGATGTGATATTTTGGGATCCTCTTATTCAGCAGGTTCAATTTTCTGAACCTTGTTTTTGAATAAGTTAAAGCATCAACCCAGGAGTCATTCCTGTTTCTTGTTATATCAGTGAGGACTTATAGATTTGAGTGGATCCAATGAGGAAGGAAGACCTCGCCTGAGTCCCAGCTACCAAAAATCTTTATCTATATTTTGCCTGGCTCAGATAACCATCAGGATAAACAAATATGTAAAAATAAAAGCCTCAAAAAAAGAAAAAAAGATATCTAGATTTAATGACATGTATGTGGTTAAACTTCATTTCCTCATTTTATTCCCTTTAAGTATGTCTGTCAAATAACAATTCGCAATTCATTTTCTGTTAAAAATTAATTTTAAGTCACAAGTAATTGAAAACTTAAGTTTTCGTTGTCCTGTATGATGATATTTTTAAAACACTTCGATAACACCTCTGCATTCTTATTTTCTTTTACTATGTCATGTATTTTTAAATATATTTCCTTAGTTATTCAACGCTTGGTGCAAACCATACTATTTGTATAGTTACGGAACTTTCCAAATCATCTTAAGAAACAGACACAATACAAGTGAACGATTTGGAGATTTTTCCCTAAGTCTGTAGGTAATGTATTTGTGGGTTAGCTTGTATATTTAACTTATGTGACCTATTCAAAGATCAAAAACAAAAACTAATAGATTTCAGTGGTAACTTAGAAGTGTCAATTACCACTACTCTATGTTTATATTCTACTGTTTTATAGGCATGACAATACAGGATTTGGGGGGAAGTGTTGGAATAATTAACTTTACATATGATTAAACAAATGCCCCTAATTTTTGAAAACTTTATGTTCTACTTATTTGCACTAGTAACTAAGAACATATCATATATATATAATGTATATATATATATATGCTGTTGATGTGAAAGTGCTCAGTTTTAGAAAATAATGCACATAATTAAAATCAAGACAATAAAAGACAGTAAACTAACTAAAATATTAGTAATTACTGGAGAGTATAAGGTGAAAATCTAATAATGCCTACTTGGTACAAAATAGTTATCCTTGGGAGAATTCCTAATGCTAAGTAAGTCGTCAAAATTCACTAAACAATATAAAACCCAAATAAGGAGGCGATTGTATCAGTAAGAGCGAATGCCTTCTGTAATCCACATCATAAGAAGTGCCCTGTGTTCTTTTCTAATTAATCCCTTGGACAGAGATCACTATTAATCATGCCTGGCACATTCATATTTTGACTCAGCTGGTTGGTATTACATGTTTTCTTTAGTGTAACTATTGTTAAGATATTTTGAATACATGTCAACATCTTTTTCCAGAGTCCACTTTTGTCACCGAGTAAAAGCTCCTCTTTAGTTCCCCCTTTACATTGAGTCAATTTATATCCCTGTTATATTTGAAAATTCTTCTGCAATGCACTTTTCTTCTGCTTTATTTATGAAAGATACAAAAAGTATTGAATCTCATGTAGACAGCAATAAAAATGAGGAAAGAGTTACAACTTTGGGGATACAGAACACCACATAGACTTTGTTTAGCTAGAGCTTCTGAGTAATCATCCAGCTATTTTCTCCGTATTATAGAACTCAGAGTTGCATCAGTCACATTTTTTTACACTGCATTTCCCAGCAATATGATGCTTTGGAGAGAAGGATTCATGTGAAGCATCCCACGGCTGAGTTTGTGTTTCACTTCTATCCTAATCTCTGAGTTGGAAAACTTTGATTTACAGTGCCCAACTTTATCAACAAACCTTACTGGAAGTTTTCTCATGTGACAAATTGAACTACAAGAGAGTGCTTCGAAATAATATACTCCACAGTTACATTAAGGGTAGGTTTTGATAACTAAGATTTAATGGAGTAATAAACAGGGAGGATTTAAATGCAAAGACCAGTAGAAATGGGCCAGCGGGACTTCTGGGAGATGATGTGAGATGCAAGGAGTTTAGGCGGAGGTAATACGTTATTTACTGGAAAGCCTCCTGCACAGCCTAAGCATTTGACTCATTTACATTCCCAGTGAAGTAAATTCCTAGATAATCATAATTCATATTTAAGAGGAGGTAAATGAAAAGTGGAGTGGATAGAAGCTGCTGTAGAAAGTTTGTTGTTATTTTGTTTTGTTGTTTTTGAGATAGAGTCTCATCTGTTGCCCCGGCTAGAGTGCCATAGTGTCAGCCTAGCTCACAGCAACCTCAGACTCCTCAGTTCAGCTGATCCTCTTGCCTCAGCCTCCCAGGTAGCTGGGACTTTATAGGTGTCCACCACCACATTTGGCTAATTTTTCTATTTTTAGTAGACACAGGGTCTTGCTCTTGCTCAGACTGGTCTCCCACTTCTGAGTTGAAGACCTGAGTTGATCCACCTGCCTCAGCCACCCATAGTTCTGGGGTTATAGGGGAGAGCTACTGAGCCCGCCTGCTGTAGAAACCTTTTAAGCTACTGGATTCATTAAGCACTGAGCACAGATTAAACCACACTGTGCTAAGATTTTAGTGAGGAATGTGATTCATCTAGGGGGTTGTAAATATTGGAATATAATTTCTAAATCTTTTGTAATAGCTTACAATAGTCAAAGCATGTTCTGATAAATATGCTACCATAGTATAGTATGAGTTATGGGGTCTGGCTCCCCCTTGACCCAGCTGACCTTATTCCATTACTAGGTGAAACTCAGAAGTTTGAGAGAAGTGAGGTGTAGTTCTGATTGAAAGCGAAAGTGAGTAGAAACCGAAAGCCAAGCAGGAGCAGGGCCTCCAGCACGAATAGAAAACCAAAGTGCATCGGCACAGGCTTTAGTCTGCCAAAGAGAAAGTGTATTCGAGTAATGAGAAAGCTTAGTGCACCTGCAGAGGGATGGAAGGGGGTCTCTTCTGAGTGAGAAGAGAGACCCTGACACAAACGTACTGTAAAGGTATAAATACCCTCTTCCTCTCCCTTTAAAACTCTTTCATCCGTCTCTCTGCATCTCCCTAATCCTTTGTCCTTTTCTATTGGCCATGGATTACCTTGGTTACCTTATACCATATTCTCTCCTTCTTTGGCTAACAATTCTGAGTGGTTATCTAACTGTTCATTTTACCACACTTGGGGTATTTATAGTGTGCGGTGTTCACCCAATGTGCAAATATGGAAGCTGTATTTTGTGTGGGACGTGCTTAGGTGAGTCACAGTGTGCCTGCAATATTTCTATCGCCCCTTCAAACTTTTCTATTCAGCAGATCAGGCTTTTCTCCCACCCCTCGTGCCCCTCTTTTTGTCCCCTCTCACCATACACATTTTTTTTTTCAATTTTTCTTACCACTATACTAATGAGAATAAATCTTTTCTTTTTATCATTGTCACAAGCAGTGTGACAGTTGGAAATATTAGGTGATTGCAATGATCCTTACTTTACTCCATTACATTAATAGTAGGTGACAATATTGTGCACAAAATTAATATTTTGACTTTTTATGTATTTATGAACTAAAATTAATTTTCAGATTCTTGAACATTTTTGAATGGGTTACAACACTAAAACAAAATTATCTGCAGATGTAATTATGTAAATATATAATGCTCATGTTAGTCAATAGTTATTATTAAAAGGCAAAAGTTTTATTCACTACACCGAAATTTAGAAATATGGTAAAATGAAGCAATTTGTTTTCAAATGTTTTAAAATATTTGTGAACGTTTATGAAGTATTTGCCTGTTTTAGAAGTAGGAAAAAAGGCCTTAAAAATAGATTAAAACATGGTCTTTTTACATATAAAGGAAGTATGATAATGACATAGTAAACTCTGGAAATAGAACAGATTCTGATTCTGTTCTACCTGCAGATTAATTAACCTCTCTAGTCTTCATTTGCTTCTTGTTTTTATAGAATGGAGAAAATACGTACTTCAAAAGGAAAGTTGGATAGATTTAATGAGATCATTTAGGTAGACTCTTATTAATGTCTACTGAGGCTAGAAAAATAACATAAATAGGTGAATAGTGTAGTCTTTAAAGAGTATAGTCATAAATTATTTCTAATAATTATTTCCGCACTCAAACTGAGATAAGTACAGCAGTCA